ACAGAGCTGGAGATGTGGTGTTTTTATACTAATTAATTTATTAGTCACACTGCATCCTGTTTAGACACTCAATATATTTAGCCCAGTCTGGGCCCAGTAGTCCTTCAAGTCACTGTCTGCTCAGTGTTCACTGTCTTAAAGGGACCAGTGCTAAAAGAAAGCAGTGAGGTTAATCAAAAAGAAAAAAAAAAAGAAAGGAGGAGGAAAAGGAGGAGGAGGAGGAGGAATAATCTGTTAATTCCTGAGGGCATCATCACTGGTGCCTGGAATTCTGGAACTTGAAGACAGAGCGCTAGTAGAGAGGAGAGAGTCCACTGCAAGGCTGCTTCATCCGAGGGTTTTCATTACCAGGACCAGGAAGGCAGCAGAGTGTCAGGAAACACTAACCTTCCTGCTAGGAGAGTGTTGGTGAGCCGCCACCATCCAGCCTTTCCTGGAACCCTCTTGACCTCAAGGCTCAGAAGGTCATAATTAGTGGAGGAAAGATTCCAATGTAGATGTTTCTGGCTCCAGAGGACACTGTGCACCACCTACCCAGATTGCTTCCCACCTCTGTGTGGCCCTGACTGGCAGGCAAGTTACTGTGTCATCTGGTTCCAGATGATAGGGGAAACAGCCACTCAGTGGCCTCCCCAGCCTCAAAAGACCCCTTTAAAAGAACAACAAAGAAATAAAAATAAACTAACTCATAACAGCAGTGAGAAAAGGAGAGGTGCAATCAGCCACCTACAGATTCCAGTAGAGTTCTGAAGACAGAGTGACAATATTTTCAGTTATGATTACATAAGAGCTACCTGTTAGCTTCTAACATTTAGAATCAAGCTACGAACAAAACAGGAGAAACTCAAATAGGAATGCAGAGCAGTGTGTGGATGCCTGCACCTTTAGATATGGATAGTGCTATGGAAAGAGATGTGAGGTAAAGGAGGTAAAGGAGAGGGGTTACAGAGGGAAGGTCGAGCTCACTGTATGGATACTGCTCCGTCAGAACTGAGAGGATGGTCCCATTCCTGGAACAAGAGGTCTCTGTATCAAATTTGAAAAATGATTGTCCTAGTTAGCTTTAACTCTCAACTTGACACAGCCTAGAGGCACCTGAGAAGGGAGTTTCAATTGAGAAATTTCCCAGATCAGATGGGCCTATGGGCATGTCTATGGCAGACTTGTCCTGATTGATATTGGAAGTCCACTGTGGGTAGCACCACTCCCTAGGCAGGTAGTTCTAGGCCTTATAAGAAAGTTAGCTAAGTACAAGCCTTGAGTGACCCCTCAAGCAGCGTTTCTGCTTCAAGTTCCTACTTGAGTTTTTGCACTGACTTCCCTTGATAATAGACTATATTCTGTAAGCTGAAATAAACCCTTTCCTTCCTGAATTTGCTTCTGGACAGAGTGTTTTATCACAGCAACAGAAAGAAACCTAACACAATGATGAATAGAAAATCAAGCCAAAACAAAGGAGCACAGTCCTCAAGAAGTTAAAGATGGAGGCAGATGTGCAAACGAGGCATGTCTCTGTTGTTCAAAGCCAAGAACTGAGGTATAAGGCTGAGCCCTGAGATAGAGCGGTAGAAACAGAATTTTAAATTTATGAAGGTGATACCAAGAGAGCCCAGGATGACCCTCAATGTGAAGCAGAGGACTGTGCTTTCCATTAGAAAGTCTTCTTTACCATGATAGTTTTTATGTATGACACCATCTGTGATGGTTAAAATTGTCAATTTGACTGGATCTTTGAATGGCCTAGGAAATATAACTTAGAGTGTGTCTGTGGGGGTGTTTCCAGAGAAGTTAGATCCTGAACGTGGACTGGAAAGGACCAGCATTCATCTCCCTCTTCTTCTGACCACTGGTACAATGTGACCAGTGGCCTCGCACTCCCATTGATGTCCCCTCATATCATAATCCCAAATAAAACCTTCCTTCCTTAAATTGCTTGACAGGTGTTTGGTCACAGCAATGAGAAATTTAACCAATTTACCCTATGATGAATAAAGACAAAAAAAAAAAAAACCTAAAAGAATGCAGCATGTTATGGCCTCTTTTGGGTACTCAGCTGAGTAGTTGAGACCTGAAGTCCCTACAGAGAGGAGCAGAGGTCAGTATCCTTTTTATCCTCCACTGCCTTCCATCCATCCATTAATGCTGTTGTGTGTGTTGGAGAAACACAGCACACACTCCACCAACTGTGTGTATAAGCCCACCCTCCACTGTCTAGTTCTGCGTGTCTAGCATTTTGGCAGCCCCAGTCCTCTGTTTCCTGCAAGCAGTCTCAACCATACATACAGATTTAATAGGATCAAAGTTTTGGCACCTCACATCCCAGCGCTGGGAGAGTAAGTTGTCTTAAAGACACTGGTTCAAGTGAATCCCTTAGTAAGTTCAGGGCTATCCATTCATAAGCAGGTAATACGTGCTCACACCAGTTGTGTGAAGTGTGTCCAGAGTAGAAGGAAAAAGGGAACCTGGAAAGAAAGGGGACCACAACCTCCTAATGTGCTTTCTTCCTAGTCTGCCCTACCACATGTACTAAAATAGCACATCCATTCTAAATGCATGCTTCTGGAGAATAAAACACTTAGCTATGCATGAAAGGTTTCCTTTTAAATGTTTTATTTGTGTGTGTGTGTGTGTGTGTGGTGTGTATGTATATGTGTGTTAATATGGATGTGTACACACAACAGTGGACATGTGGAGGTGGGAGGAAAACCTCAGGTATCAGTCCTCACCTTCCACCTTGTTTAAGACAGAGTTTCTTGTTGCTCACTGCTGTGTACCCCAGGCTAGCTGGCCTGTGAGCTGCCAGGGATTCACTGTCTTCATCTCCCATGTCACCATAGGCGCACTGGGCGCACAGACATGTGCCTCAGCATACAGCTTTACATGGGCTTAGGGATTCAAATTCAGGTCCTCAGACTTGCGTGGCCCACTGCACCATCTCCCCAGTCTTGAAATTCTTAAGTGGCAGAATTGGGAAATAGACCCAACAGAGAAAATGGTTTGAAAAGAAAAGAGGAACTTCAAAGGGGAGAAAATCTACAACCAATCTTAACTCCACTTCTAACTTAGCCTAACTCTAACTGTGACAAATTAGATATGAAACTAGAGACACCAAAACCACTCTTCTGATTTTGGTCAGAAATGATCAAATTATGAGGCTTGAACTGATGTGGCAGCATATGACTGTAACCTCAGCACCTGAGAGGGTAAGGCAGGAGGGTGGTGAGTTCAAGGCCAATCTGGGCTTCATAGCAAGTTCAAGATTAGCCTAGGCTACACAGTGAGACCCTATCTTAAAAAAAACCCCACAACAACAACAACAACAAAAACTAAAGAGACTTTAAGATGTATTTTAAAGAGGACCATGTTTGAATTCTGATTTGAACATGTTTTGTGTAAAGCTACTTTAAAAAGTATGGGTGGGGGCTAGGAAGATGGTTCAGTGGGTAAGAATGCTCTACAAGCATGAGGACCAAAGAACCCATATAAAAAGCTGGGCATGGCCATATGTACACCTATAACCCATGTGCTGTGGAGAATAGAGACAGGGGTTCACTGAGGTCGCTGACCACCAGTCAGTCTAGTTCCAGATTCACTGAGAGACCCTGTCTCAAGGTAATAGGTGGAAAGCGACAGAGAAGGGCACCCGATGTCCTCCTCTGGCCTCTAAATGTGCATGGCTACGTGTACCTGTACACATGTGTACATATACCATACTACACATAAAAATATACACCTCTCCCTCACACACACATACACAAGGGCCCATACACACACACACACACACACACACACAGACATCTGCATAAATTTATTGGATATTAGATGATATTAAGAAATATTTTAAAGGGCCTGAGAAATGGCTCAGTGGTTAAGAGCACTGGCTGCTCTTGCAGAGGGTCCGGATTCAGTTCCCAGCACCCACATGGCAGTTAACAACTGTCCATAACTCCAGCTCCAGGGAATCTAAAACCCTTCTGAACTCCACAGGCATTGCATACATGAGTGTCCTTACATATATGCAGGTAAAACACTCATATACATTAAATAAATAATTTAAAGAAGGACAGAAAGGAAAACAGGTTTTTGAAAGGTTTAACCCATTCTACCAACCAAAGAAAATTTAGAAGATGCAATCCCGGTCTCTTTTCTTCCCTCCCTCTCTTCCTCCTCCTTTCTCTCCAATCAGTTAGCTGTGTGGTACTGAAAAAGCTTTGTAATCAGTCTCTCTGATGTTGGTGCCTCTGTATAAACTGGTGGCACACTGATGGAATACCTGTGCCAACCAATGGGGTGACTTCTGCACACTGGGGGCAGGAAGGGTTCAGTGACTGCTTTATCCTCAAGTTCTCTTGCTGGGAATTTTTCAGTCCCCATTACCTCTCTCTCTGTTTCCACATTATGTTTAGAAGACATTTAATTCACATTTCCACTATCTGTTTATCTCCTTCAGGGTCTGTCAGCACTGAGGAATAGATCATTATCATCACCAGATAACTTCTAAGTCTAAGCCCTACCTTCCAAACCCAGCCAGAGAAACAAGGCAAATTAAAAAAATAAAAACAAACAAACAAACAAAAAAAACAAAAAACCCCAGCTGATCAGGAGAAGAGAAAAGAGAACAAATTCAACCTAACACTGTGAAGGAACACTCTTCCATTGTAAATTTTCACACTCATTAAAGCAATTCTTAAAGAATGAAAAAGTCAGCCATAACATTACTTCCTTGACCCTTCCACACACCATAAACCCAAGTCATATGGAGGGGAGACAAACACTGGATGTCCGTGGTTTGGAGGGGGTGGTGTCTTCATCTTTCTGACCCATTAGTCAGACTCTCACTGAGACCACAGGAATGTCACACGTCATTGGCTATGGGAAGACTTCCTACAGAGGGCGGGGCAACCTTCCCTTGAACCTTTGAATGTGTGTGCTGATGTGACAGAAAGACTGAGCTCTGAGCTATGCTGTCTCCATACGGTCAGCTAAAAGAGGCCCCTCACCTTAGTCTTTCTTCTTCCTTTTTGCGAAGATTGAAGTCTCTCTGAACCACCTGGAGAACATGCTCTGTCTCATCGTCGGTCAGACCAGACAGGTCCAGCTTCCTCCCCATGATTCAGTGTTAAACACCGATGATAAAGCAAGACCTGGGAAGTGAACAGAGAGAACATGAATCGAGGGCAAGAAAACGCTCAGCATGCCCAGAATCCACCAACAATATATTAACTCAGAACTAAGCACAGTGTTTCTATGGAGGCGCGTTGAGGTAGCGGCTTTGTCTGAACTCACACTCTGTGTTTATACACGGCTCAGCAAGACTGCAGGGAAAAAGACAAGTGACCATCTGCTAGCTTCCTCCTCTCAACTCTTAAATTAAACAAAAATATCTGTATGTCAGATGTGGTAGAGCACACCTATAATCCCAGCATTTGAGAGGTTTTGGCAGGAGGATCAGTAGTCAAAGATCATCCTTGGCTACATAATGAGTTTGAGGCTAGCCTGGGTCACCATGAGACTCTGTCTCAAAACAACAACAATAACTTCTCTTTTAAAAAGTAATATTATACATATGCCATACCCCTTAAGCCTTTCATCACAACTATGAAATAAAAACTAGAAATTGGGGGGATGGCTCAGCAGGCAATATGCTTGCTGTGTGACCCTAATGAACTAAGTTTGGGACCATCTGTAGAACCCACATAAAAAACTGGAGGGAGTAACTGTGGCCAGCTACCCGGCTTACACAGCAGGAACAAAACTGTCTCAAATAAGATGGAAAGGCAGGAACCCAGACCCAAAGGTTGTCTTCTGATCTCTTCACATGCACCATCATGGCATGTACACACACACACACACACACACACACACACACATGCACACATACACGCACATGCACACCAAAACAAAACTAAAAATCAGCAAACACTGACTGAAATAATTTTTTGGCCTTTTTCTCAGTAATAGAAAAATTGGCATTGCAGAGAAATGCCCCCTAGTCCTATTACTGTAGCCTTGGAGTCCCATTAAGGGAAAGCTGTTGCCTCTGAGCCAAAAGAATGGAATCTATCACAGGATAGAGCCACTCCATTGTCTCCTCCTTTAAGAGTCAATCTAGTTGGTCCAGTCAATCACCTGACCAAGGGATACCCCTCAGGAAGGCAGGTTCTCCTTAAGCCATATTAGAGCAATAGATAATGTACTTTTTTAATGAGAGAATGTATTTTTTCCTTCCCAGAATTCCTGTCTCAGAACGCAGTCCTTACAAGCCCCTATGAGGCTCTGTTGGGTCTGTATGCCTTTCAGAATCCTGCCTCAGAAAGGCATCACTTTCCCTTTTTCTCCCGTTTTCTTTCAGATGCCAGCCTACGTGGGCTTTCTCTGGTTCTTTGGGCTTTTTCACTTTTTTTCTAAATTCCTCTTCCCACCATGTGGCTTCCTGTCCAGCATGTAGCTGACCTCCATGCCCAACTCAAACAGCATGGCTCTCTTTCCTTTTTAAGTTCCCGCCTATGAATCTATAATAATCTTCTCTCTAAAGAAGATGGACCCTCGTGGTCCATGAATTTCATTCTTGGTATTTGAGAGACAAGAATCCAAAAGCCAGGGGCTTGGGACAGCTTTGGTGACCTTCCAGTTTCTAGGACCCTAGCTCCCCAAGAAAGACTGCTTTCTCAAGGATACCCCAATATTCCCATATTAGTAGTACATCCTAAAAACAGGGAAGGATCTTTTTATTGGTTCTAGGTATTGAACCCAGGGCCTTATGTAAGTTAAGTACCAGCTATAACACCAAATGACACCCCAGGCCAGGAAACAGAACCTTTAAAATCAATTTTAATAAGTGGTTATGCCTCAGAGCTGAAATAAACTAATTCCAAAAAATTCCTCAGAACTGAAGGTCATCCTGATAAGGAGAAATTATACTTATAACCTGTTAGGGTTTGGATCTGCAACAGCCCCCTCCCCAACAGGGCCTCACAGTTTTACAAGCCCCTGAGAATGCAGGAACTGAATTAATGAGCACCCTGGTCTTTGAAGACAAGATAAGCAGACTCTCTGTACCTTTTGGCCAAAGACAGCCTGCTTCTCCTTTGATGATCTTGGAAGCAAAACAGGTTCTGCACTCTGGATCTATTTTCCGCTGATAAATTTTACAATGTATAGACTCCTTACCTCATAACCCAGATCCTGGCTGACAGAAGGGGGCAGTTTTAACAGAAGATGTTCTTATAAGCCCTGGGCTCCCTCTCTCCCACCTAACTTAAAAAAAAATCTTCCCACCTTCTGCATCCCCCAAAGCTCCCTTATGAAGACCCCCCCAGCCCACAACCTGTGGGCCGACAATTTCCCTATCCCTAAGGGAATTGTCCTGTGCAATTTTCCTCTGCTAATAAACTCTATCCTGCTGGAGTTTTATCTGTGTCCTGGTGCTTTGTCCTAATTGACCCGATTCATCTGTCACAACCACACTGTATTCTTGCATAATGCCCTTGCACACCTAGGCCATTTGAAGTTTCCTCTTGTTTCACTGACTAGGTAGATGTCTTGGAATGCAGCCTTGTGATGTTTTACTACTCAGTGATGTTTTATTGTTCTGTGATGTTTTCACTGCCCTGAGATGTTTTATTACACTTGTTACACTATAATATCTTAAAGCTCTGTAATGCATTCCACTCAGCATATTTAATTGTTGATAAAAATGCAAAACTAAGAAAACAAAGTTGATTGAATGGTTTAATGAAGCACTTGGTCCAATTAGTGCAAGAAAAGTATAGCTCAAACATGACAAATATCTAAATTTCTGATATCTGTTTTTGTAAACTGCAATGACCAACTGACTGACTCCTAGCTCAATTAGCCTGGCTTAGCTATAGGTCAAAGGGTGGCAGTTGTCCTGACCCATGCCTGGGCTATCTACTTTGTAAGCTATGGTGACAGAGTACACTCAGGAAGGAATTTTTTTTCTGAGACATGGCCATCATAAGGTTTGGGGGTGCCACTCAGCTGGTAGAATATATGCACACTATCTACTTTGTAAGCTATGGTGACAGAGTACACTCAGGAAGGAATTTTTTTCTGAGACATGGCCATCATGAAAAGAGCCATAAGGCCCAGCTACCAGCCATAAAATGCTGACATGAAAATGCCTATATAACCCCCATTTGTACTTCTGCTTAGGGCACAGAAGATCTTGAAGTCTTGGTTACTAACTCTAGGGCCACATGTACATGAAAAGAATAAATGGGCTTTCTGAGTCTCTCCTGGGTGAATGCTTGATCTCTTAAGCTATTCAAAGACCATAGCAATCCTTTACATGGATGCAACAATCTAAACAAAATATTAGCAATACCAACTCAGCAAGATCTAAAAAGGACTTTATACCATGACAAAAATGGGCTTAAGTAATTCAGTTTCTCATCTTTCAAAGCTAAAGCTGTGTAGCTCATCATATAAACATGTCAAAGTACATGTCTGGGTGGCTTATACAAGAGAAATGTACTTTCACATGGGTGCCTGGAAACCACTCCTCCTTGGGGCCTTTGCCTGTAATGGGAATGTCAGCCTCAAAGATCTTCAAACTGCAGGGCTGGGGAGACGGTTCCCTCCGTAAAATGCCTGCCCTGAACCCACAGGAAAGACCTGAGCTTGGTCCCCAGAACTCACATTAAAAAAAGAATAAAATGCTGGGCATGGTGCTGCCTGTCTGAAACCCCTGTGCTGTGTGAGTGAGCCACATAGAGTCCTGGAGCTCACTGGAGTCAGTCCAACAGAATCAGTGAGCTCCAAGTTCACTGAGGGACCCTGCCTCAAAAAATAAGGTGAAGCCTGTTTTCACAAGAGGAGTTCATGCCTCATTAGTGCTGTCCTCAACCTTGGCCAGAGAAGCTTCTCTCTTAAGTGGGTAGAGGTTGATTCAGAAAGTGGGAGAGTAAGTGACTGTTGAGTGCTCAACCCAAAGTGGGACATCTATATCACCCTAAGGCTCAGATAACATCAAGGAAGAGAGGGCAGAAAGAATGTAAGAGCTGGTGGATGGGGAGGAGTGCTGGGAAATGCCATCATCAGGACATGATTTGGCCATTGCCCTCATGAGCTCACTGCAGCTGTGACTGCCTGCACAAGATCAAGTCAACAAGATCAGTCAACATTCCAGCAGAGGGAACTAGTTAGACTCAGTGGGTCACTATATAAAAAAAAAAGAGAAAACTTGAAGAGGGGATGGGGATGTGCTGAGAAATGCCCAGGGGAAAGTGAGAGGGGGTAGATATGATCAAGTGACACTGTAGACACTGTATACTATCAAAGAATAAATAGAAAATTTTTGTAAGTAGCACAAAAAATAAGATAGCAATAAAGGAAGGCATCTGATGTAAGTCTCTGGCCTCCAAACACATGTGCACACACATGCAGGCAGATACATGTACACATATACAAACACATAAGAACACATATACATGCCCCCTACACACATACATATGCACACACATCTACGACACGCATTCACTGCCACTCTTCATTCTCTTGATAGACAGCACCAGCCTCTGATCCCCCATGTCCTCCTTGTAAAATTCTGTGGACCATTCCCTAACTTGCCTTTTTTTCTTTACCACAGGACAGGGCCAGGCTGAGACCGCTCTGCTTCCTGTGACTATAAAGTCCTTCTTGAATCCATTTTCTCTCCCTCACATTTCACTGTAAGCAGTCAGGAGAAGTCATGCAATGCCCTCAACATTTTGCTCAGACATCACTCCTGCCAAGCATCGAGCTTACCTCTGTAAGCTCTGCCTTCCACAAAGCCTAAGGGCACAAACAGTTCAGCCAAGTGCATCACCACTTTCTAACAAGGAGCATTTTCCTATAGTTCCCAGTGTCTTGACCTTATTTCCATCTGAGCCCTCATCAGAATTATCTTTGCTATTCCTATTTTCTATTTTGTTTCCTTGCTTTGCTTTGAGATAGGCTCTCATGTAGCCCAGGCTGGCCTCAAACTTGCTATGTAGTTGAGGATACCTTGGAATTTCTGATTCTACTGCCTCTACCTCCTGAGTGCCAGGATTATAGTACTCTACTTAGTACCAATTCCTATCCTAGTTCTTTCAGCCTACTATAACAAAATACCTGAGACAGGGTAAGTAATAGGGGAAAA